TTGGCTCCTTCCAGTCGATCCACCACCTTGCCATCCTGCAGGAAGAGGGGAAGAAGGGGGCAGGAATGGCAAGGGAAGTTGGTTGATGGCAAAGGAGGGTGCAGCGACGTGCAGTGCGACCTTGTGGGCTAGCTCGGGGGGGTTGGCTCCCTCCAGTCGATCCACCACCTTGCCATCCTGCAAGAAAAGAGAAAAGAGTGGAGGAAAATGCAAAATGGAAGTTGGTGGAGGAGGGGGGTGCAGCGACGTGCTGGGTCACCTTGTGTGCTATGCTAGCTAGGTCGTTCAAGTCTGTCAACCACAGTCAACCACCTTGCCATCCTGTTGAGGGAGGGAAGCGTAGAAGTAGACGGGGATGCGTTGTTGAGTTGAGTCAGTGCGAGCTTTGAACTCCACGGGCGGGTGAAGGATTGAACACCTCATCTCATCATAGAGAGAGCATATTCTGATATATTACCAAGAGTCTAAGGGACAGTGCGGATTTGTAGTACCATGTCTCATTGTACTAGAGTTATGATACGATTTTGTAGGCGCCTCAAAAAGAGGGTGAGTCAAAGCAATGCGACTTATCATTCTACGGAGCGTGAGTGGTAGTCATATATTGTTTTTTTTCTTTCTTTCTTTTTCTGGCAATAAAGACGCATGCACCCCTGTCCTACTTGTCAGTCATCCAAACCTTAAGTCAAAGAACAGGGTCGGACAACAACCAGCAGATACAAAAAGTATGGATGCTTCAAGGTAGAAGTACAAATCAGGTATGAATAAAGAATGCTTTCAGGATGAGGTAAGAAGGCATGCGGAGCACCTTGAGAAAGGACGAACGACACCTCGGCCAACACAGCAGAGTACATTTTGAGTCGACTCAAAAGTCAACTCGGAAGGCATGCGGAGCAGCGGAGCACCTTGAGAAAGGACGAACGGCACGGCCAACACAGCAGAGTACATCTCGGCTATTGAGGCGCGCGTGACACTTCTACAAAGACAGAAGCAAGGAAGCGAGGAGTGAGGAGCACCTTAAGGAAGACGAAGAAGGGTACAGCCGATACAGAGTATGTCTCAGAAAGTTCCGGTACCTCCTCTGCCTCCACCTGTGCACGAGCAAGGGGGAGATAGGGGACGAAGGAGATAGGAAGACGAAGAAGGGTGTAGCCGATACAGAGTATGCCTCAGAAAGTTCCGGTACCTCCTCTGCCTCCACCTGTGCATGAGGGGGTTGGAAGGGCAGCAGGGGGGAGCAAAGGGAGAGGAAAGGAAAGGAGGGAGGGAGAGATACGAGGGGGGAAGCGGTTGGTGGAACACAGAAAAATGGAGGAAGGGGGCGGAGGAGGCAAAGAAAGAGCTCCAACCTTTGCTTGGTGGTAGTACTCACTTTCAAGAGATTGGCATAGGGGTTTTCCAGCTGTCAGAAGCCCAAACACTACGCCCATGTGATTGCAGCGCTTGCACCATGCCGTTCCGAAAATCAATCAGCTCAAGCCAAGCCCTGTACCCGATAAACCCAGTGCTTACTCACTCTCAGGGACACTCAAGGCATAGGGATTCTCTGCAATGAGTTGCCAGAACACCACATCCATGTGCTTGCACGGCTCACACCATGCCGCTCAGGAATGCATTCAGATGTTCTAGGTGCTTCCTTACCCTCAGAAACTTGGCGTGCGGATTCTCTGCAACGAGTTGCCCGAACACCACATCCATGTGCTTGCACGGCTCACACCACTCGAAGCATTCGCATCATAAAATCTTCTCAATGCTAAGTTACGGTACCCTCAGGAACTTGGCATGGGGGTTCTCTGCTGCGAGTTCCCCAACCACCACGTCCATGTGCTTGCATTGCATGGCTTGCACCATGCTGGTTAGAAATACACGGCCACTGTTCTCTGTACTGACTTACCCTCAGGAACTTGGCATGGCGGTTCTCTGCTGCGAGTTCCCCAACCACCACGTCCATGTGCTTGCAGGGTTCGCTCCATGCCGCCCAGAAATGCAATCAGATTTCCCCCAGTGCTGACTCACCGACCCTTAGGAACTTGGCATGTGATGTGGATTCTCTGCTGCCAGCAGCCCGAATACAACGTCCATGTACTTGCACGGCTCGCACCATGCCCCCCAGAAGGACATTCAGCTGTTCTCACTGCTCACTTCACCCTCAGCAATTTGGCGTGGGGGTTTTCGGCTGCGAGCTGCCAGAACACCACATCCATGTGCTTGCACGGCTCGCACCATGCCGCCCAGAAATGCATTCAGATGTTCTCAGTGCGTACTTACCCTCAGAAACTTGGCATGGGGGTTTTCGACTGCCAGTTGCCCAAAAACAACATCCATGTGCTTGCACGGCTCGCACCATGCGGCCCAGAAATGCACGGCCACTGGCGCCCCTTCCTTGGCCGCTGCTTCGAATGCCTCTGCTGACGTCACCTCCGTCACTGCCATGGTTGCTGGTGGGAGGGGGGGCGGGGGTAGAACAAGGCGGGAGGAGGCGAGGAGGGAGGGAGGAGGAGAGGAGGGGAAGGAGGGAGAAATGAGCGAGGAAGCACAAAAATGGTGAATGACGTGACGGGTGCAGATTGCGTGGTGACTTTTGAGTCGACTCAAAAGTCAGCGAGGAAGCACAAAAATGGTGAATGACGTGACGTGACGGGTCCAGATTGCGTGACGTCGCAGCACAGAACGAGCGTGGTGAAATTGTTAACGCAGATGGCGTGTGTTCGTTATCTGAGTGACGTAAGTTACTGGCGACGTTGAGTCGTTACAACGGTTATAAAGTCACAGTGTAACAGCGTCACAGGGTGCAACACAGTCATATGGAAATCACTTTTGAGAATTCTCATAATTGATTTCCATTCAGCCAAGGTCCTCAAAACGATAACTGAAAGGCCCTTCAATCATCCCACCCTAATCGCATATGTGTGAGCGGCTTTTCACCATTCTCTCGTGTCCGCATACACACACCAAATCTGGTTACCCTCGCGGCTTTCCCCGCTCTCTCTCACCAGATCCGATTTCCCTCGCGGCGAGCTCGCACGTCACCAGACTCTAGTAGTAGCAGCGGGAATCCGGGCGTTATCGCTAGATAGTCCGCCCTTTTCTCCCGCACGACCACGATATGCTTTGAGAAACCAGAGACCAAAAAACACCTATCTGGAACGAGAGGCGTGTAAAAGAAGTTTCGCGAAATCCGATTGCAGAGGGCAAATCCATGTCAGTACTCGCTGGAAACGTTAACTCGATACACTGTGAAGAGTGCTGACATTCTGGAAACAGAAAATGATATTGAGAAGTGTTTTTGTCTAGCATTGACATTTTAGAATGTTATGGAGCAAGTAAAAGTAATGAAATCATAGAATTGCACTAGAAGGTTATGAGACAAAGGCGAGAGATCTGTGCCTCAACGAATCAAATGCGTCCACGAGTGAACCAGATAGTTGTCAACCAATCACCACCCTCCTCGAACCAATACGGACGTTCTCCCTGATGCTCGTCCAGACAGACCAAATTCTTCTATTTCTGACCAAGTCTCACTGCTTTCAGGCTTTTCCTCCATTGCTTAGCCAGTTAGCTATTTTTGTGGGATTACCAGGTTGATTAGCCGCCATGGTCGTAGCAAGCTCGTTGTGCTGCAGCCACGCGGTTGGGCTGAAGCCGCTTCACACTACGCCTAGCAATGGAAACACGTGGCTTAGCCTCTTCTTCTAGGCTACAAAATGCCATTCCCCGCTTGACTACTGGTAACCGCAGTGCTCGCATCCAAACGGTGCGACAGGCGAAGCGTTCGCATCTCAGCCGTCAATGTCGCTCCCGAGAGTGCGACGGCGTCGCAGAGCTCGGATACGGAGCTTCTTGATTGGATGAAACGCGAACGGGCTGCCTCCGTGCAAAGTCACGCTGAAGGAGCGACCCGGAGCCACTCCCGAGGAGGATACGATCCATTACGTTGCCGCCACGGAAGATCTGCAGGCAAGCCTAGAATCCGCGAGTATTCAGCGTTTTATATGCTCCGCTGTGCTTTGCAGCCCCGGGCCACTCCCAGAGCCCCTTACGTTGCAAACACGGAAGATCTGCAGGCAAGCTTAGAATTCGCCATTCTAAACGTCATTATGAGTCCTTCAGCACTCAATAATGCTCGCTGTGCGCTGATCCGGTTCTCGACAGGAAGAACCATGTCGATGGGTCTGGAAATTGGGAGTTACGAAGGTTCCGAGCTTCGTGTCTTTCTAAGCTTTTCTCATCGCATACTGGCACCAGCGATTGAATGTTTCATGCTCGACTGAATCGCTCCTTATGCGCCTGTGTTTCAATCTATGAATCCATTGCATCGCCCCGTTCCGCGACAATCCCTGAATCCAACACTGGCAGGCCGGCGACATTCCGTTGAAGGTTCCAGAGAACCTCATTGTCACCCTGGGTCGAGTGCTGGGAGACGAAAACCTAGGTATGGCTTGCGTGGCCCTTTGTCTCCTGTCTTTTGAGTCGACTCAAAGGTGCCGGAGAAGGTATGGCTTGCGTGGCCCTTTCTTTCCTGTCATTTGAGTCGACGACTCAAAGGTTCCGGAGAACCTCATTGTCACCCTGGGTCGAGTGCTGGGAGACGAAAACCTAGGTATGGCTTGCGCGTCTGCATGTTTCATCACTTCCTGGGTGCACAAGCAAGTAACAGGCCTCACATTGTAGTTCCGTTGAAACATCTCACCCGACAGACGCATCCCCTGATTAATTTGACTTAAAAATTTCGTCTCACTGACCTTGCAATGCGACCGCACGACGCTTGTCCCAACTTCCGTGTCTGCTGTGCGCGTCACCCCCCATTCTCCATTTTTGTCGTTTATGGCGACTCTGAATCAATATGAGCCAATGCGTTCACTCATCTTCCACCCACGAGTGATACGGCACGTACCAATGCGTCGTGTTTTGAGTCGACTCAAAACTCGTTTATGGCGACCCTGAATCAATGTGAGCCAATGCGTTTACTCATCTTCCACCCACGAGCGATACGACACGTACCAATGCTCTCCGCCTCTCGCCCTCTCGCCCACTCCCCTCGATTCCCCACCCCAACCCTCCCCTCCAGCGGAGCTGGTAACAACCAACAAACTATCGGAGCTGGCGTGCTTGGCGCTCTACCTCATGTTCGAGAAGAAGCAGGCCAATCAGTCCTTCCCTCCTTCCATCTCTCACCTCCCACTTCCCCCGTCCCCCACCCCTCCAGCGGAGCTGGTAACAACCAACAAGCTATCGGAGCTGGCGTGCTTGGCGCTCTACCTCATGTTCGAGAAGAAGCAGGCTGATGAGTCCTTCTGGGGCCCCTTCATTCACGAGCTCGACCGGCAGAGGGGGCGAGGCCAGACGGCCGTCGCGACCCCTCTCCTGTGGGACCCGCAGGAGGTGGCCGAGCTGTTCCAAGGGAGCCCCATGAAGGTGAGCATCAGGATCAGGTGGGGAGGTTAGGTGAGAGTCGAGGGGGTTAGCAGCATTGTGCTGCTGGTGTGTCTGGCGCTGTGCGTTGATGCTCGGCCTTTCTGAGAAAGGGTTGAGGAGAAGCAGACCGACCAGTCCTTCTGGCGTCCTTTTATCAACGAGCTTGATAGGCAGAGGGGGCGAGGACAGACTGCTGTTGAGACCCCACAGCTGTGGGACCCGCAGGAGGTGGCAGAGCTGTTCCAGGGCAGCCCCAAGAAGGTGTGTTTGGCTCGTGAATTCTCAGGATAGCTGCAGCAACAAGCACTCGGCCATGGCGACTCCACGGCCGAGACTCTCCCTTTGATCCTTCTCCTCCTTATTCCATCCTCATCGCACCTGCCCACATGCCTCTCTCCCTCGCATTCCTTCTCTCTATGTGAATTCCCTCTGGCGGAGGTGGAGGCGCGGCTGCAGGGCATGAAGAGGGAGTACGAGGAGCTGGACCCGACACAGTAAGTTTGACTATATCACACCATATCCGCCCACATCCCTCCCTGCCATCTTCATTCTCTGACCCCACAGGCGGAGGTGGAGGCGCGGCTGCACTGCAGGGCATCAAGAGGGAGTACGAGGAGCTGCACAGTACACTGTAAAGCTCTCCCTTATTTTCCATCTTTTCCTCATCACACCACCCACATGCCTCCCCCCCCCATCCCCACAAACCCACAGGCGGAGGTGGAGGCGCGGCTGCAGGGCATCAAGAGGGAGCACGAGGAGCTGGACCCGGCACAGTGAGTGTGACTATATCACACCATATCCGCCCACATCCCTCCCTGCCATCTTCATTCTCTGAACCCACAGGCGGAGGTGGAGGCGCGGCTGCACTGCAGGGCATCAAGAGGGAGCACGAGGAGCTGGACCCGACACAGTTTGACTCTCCCTTTACTCTCTCCTTGTCCTGATCCCTCCCTCGCATTCCTTCTCTCTATGTGGATCCCCACAGGTGGAGGTGGAGGCGCGGCTGCAGGGCATCAAGAGGGAGTACGAGGAGTTGGACACAGTGTGGTTCCTCGCAGCCTCGCTCTTCAAGGTATGGCTGTGTAGGGAGCATGTGTGATAGGGGGAGGCACGTATGGCCAGTGTGTGTGGCGCATGGGTGAGGGCATCAAGAGGGAGTACGAGGAGCTGGACACGGTGTGGTTCCTTGCAGCTTCTCTTTTCAAGGTACTGCTTCGTGTGCAGTGCAGGGTGACATGCTTGTTGTGGGCACCGTGAGGCAGGCGTGTGTGTGTGGGGCGTGTAACTGCAGCTGCATGTGTCTTTCTATCTATGCGTGCGCTTCTCTATCATATATCCGCGGTTCTCCGACCAACCTCTCACTTGCAGCAGATCCTTTCTATTCTCTTATCCCCAATTCTCTACAATATCTCGCCCCCCCTTTTTTTTCTGACATGCACTGTGCAGCCATCCCCTTGATAACTCGCATATTGTCCGCCCCCCAATCCCTTCACTCCTCTCCCCCGTTGCAACCCCCCAACCCCTCTCTCCATTCCACAACCTATTTCCTGTTCCCTGACTCACCAGACCCCTCTGCACCCCCATCCTCTCCTTCCCCCCCTCTCAACCCCCCATTCCCCCACCGCACACAGCAATACCCCTACGACACGCCATCAGAGACCTTCCCTTTTGAGATCTTCAAGCAGGCGTTTATTGCTGTGCAGTCATGCGTGGTGCACCTGCAGGTGAGACTATATTCTCCTCTTGTGCTTGAGTAAGGTACTAGGGGCACCTGCAGGTGAGAGTCAACACAGTCATGCGTGGTGCACCTGCAGGTGAGAGTCAATGCAGTCATGCGTGGTGCAGCTGCAGGTGAGAGTCAATGCAGTCATGCGTGGTGCAGCTGCAGGTGAGAGTCAACACAGTCATGCGTGGTGCACCTGCAGGTGAGAGTCAATGCAGTCATGCGTGGTGCACCTGCAGGTGAGAGTCAACACAGTCATGCGTGGTGCAGCTGCAGGTGAGAGTCAATGCAGTCATGCGTGGTGCAGCTGCAGGTGAGAGTCAATGCAGTCATGCGTGGTGCACCTGCAGGTGAGAGTCAACACAGTCATGCGTGGTGCAGCTGCAGGTGAGAGTCAATGCAGTCATGCGTGGTGCACCTGCAGGTGAGAGTCAACACAGTCATGCGTGGTGCACCTGCAGGTGAGAGTCATGCAGTCATGCGTGGTGCACCTGCAGGTGAGAGTCAATGCAGTCATGCGTGGTGCAGCTGCAGGTGAGAGTCAACACAGTCATGCGTGGTGCACCTGCAGGTGAGAGTCAATGCAGTCATGCGTGGTGCACCTGCAGGTGAGAGTCAACACAGTCATGCGTGGTGCAGCTGCAGGTGAGAGTCAATGCAGTCATGCGTGGTGCAGCTGCAGGTGAGAGTCAATGCAGTCATGCGTGGTGCACCTGCAGGTGAGAGTCAACACAGTCATGCGTGGTGCAGCTGCAGGTGAGAGTCAATGCAGTCATGCGTGGTGCACCTGCAGGTGAGAGTCAACACAGTCATGCGTGGTGCACCTGCAGGTGAGAGTCAATGCAGTCATGCGTGGTGCACCTGCAGGTGAGAGTCAATGCAGTCATGCGTGGTGCAGCTGCAGGTGAGAGTCAATGCAGTCATGCGTGGTGCAGCTGCAGGTGAGAGTCAATGCAGTCATGCGTGGTGCACCTGCAGGTGAGAGTCAACACAGTCATGCGTGGTGCAGCTGCAGGTGAGAGTCAATGCAGTCATGCGTGGTGCAGCTGCAGGTGAGAGTCAATGCAGTCATGCGTGGTGCACCTGCAGGTGAGAGTCAATGCAGTCATGCGTGGTGCACCTGCAGGTGAGAGTCAATGCAGTCATGCATGGTGCACCTGCAGGTGAGACTTTATTCTCTTATGGCACCTGCATGTTGGATTTGACTTTCTCTTGTGCTTGAGTAAGGGCACCTGCAGGTGAGATTTGATTCTCATATGCTCTCCTCTTCCCCCCTTCATGTCTCCCGTCGCACTCATCCCTAAGGGTCCGCCTCTGGCCTGCCACGTGCTCACAACCAAACCCCCGCCCCCTCCTCCCAACAACCCCTTCCCCCCCTTATTATTCCCCCATCCTGCCCGTCCCCTTGTATTCCTCTGCAGGGCATGCCTCTCCCCCGTTGCTTCGCCCTCATCCCCATGGTCCCGCCTCTACTGACCTACTGCCGCACCACTTGCTTGCGCTCCCTCCTTGCCCCCCTCACCATTCCATGTATTCCTCTCATCTCTTCCGCCCACACGCCCCCCCCTTCCCTGCTCTCCCCTTTCCCCCGCCCCGCAGGGCGTGCCTCTCCCTCGTAGCTTCGCCCTCATCCCCATGGTCCTGCCCGCCTCTCCTGGCCTACCGCCGCACCACGCGCTCACAACCAAACCCCCTTGTCCCGCCAACACCCCTTCCCCCCCTATTCTCCCCTCATCCTGCCCCCTTGTATTCCCCCACAGGGCGTGCCTCTCCCCCGTCGCTTCGCCCTCATCCCCATGGGTCCGCCTCTCCTGGCCTACAAAAGCACCACGCGCTCCATGCTCGCCGCTTCCCCTGACGGCGGGGTTGAGCTTCGTCTGGACCGCCCTGTCAAGGCAGGGGAGCCCCTCAGCGTGTGGTGAGTGTGCTTAGTTGCAGGCAGAAAGGTGACTCGGTAAACCCGTAACCTCTTTGAGGGACAGTGTGCCTACCGCAGCACCACGCGCTACATGCTCGCTGCCTTCCCTCCTTCCCCCCTCCGCCCTTTCCCTCTCGCTCATCTCCCCCCCTCCTCCTCGCCTCACCCCCTCAGGTGTGGCCCCCAGCCCAACACGCGGCTGCTGCTGAATCACGGCATTGTGGACGCGGATAACCCCCCTCCACTATGACCACCTGGCAGTGACTTTTGAGTAGACTCAAAAGTCATCACGGCATTGTGGACGCGAATAACCCCCCTCCACTATCTATGACCACCTGGCAGTGCATCCCTCTCTTCCCCCACCTCCTCCCACCCCTCCTTCTCCCTGTCCCAAATCTCTCATCTCAGGTGCGCCCCCCAGCCCAACACTCGCCTGTTGCTCAACTAGGCATTGTGGACGAGGACAACCCCTATGACCGCCTTACGGTGCATCCTTTTCATACTCCCCTCATTCTCGCCCTCCTTCTCCTCATCCTTTTTCCCCTCTTCTCCCACTACCCTCCTCACCCACCCGCTCAGGTGTGGCCCCCAGCCCAACACGCGGCTGTTGCTCAACTACGGCATTGTGGACGAGGACAACCCCTATGACCGCCTTACGGTGCATCCTTTTCATACTCCCCTCATTCTCGTCCTCCTTCTCCTCATCCTTTTTCCCCTCTTCTCCCACTACCCTCCTCACCCACCCGCTCAGGTGTGGCCCCCAGCCCACACGCGGCTGTTGCTCAACTACGGCATTGTGGACGAGGACAACCCCTATGACCGCCTCACAGTGCAGGTGAGGGCTGCGCAGGTGGGCAGGCAGGCTAGGAGTAAATCCCTTTTTCTCTGTTGCTGAAAGATGGCATTGTGGACGAGGACATGACCGCCTATGACACAGTGCAGGTGAGGGCTGCGCAGGTGGGCAGGCAGGCTAGGAGTAAATCCCTTTTTCTCTGTTGCTGAACGATGGCATTGTGGACGAGGACAACCCCTATGACCGCCTCACAGTGCAGGTGAGGGCTGCGCAGGTGGGCAGGCAGGCTAGGAGTAAATCCCTTTTTCTCTGTTGCTGAACGATGGCATTGTGGACGAGGACAACCCCTATGACCGCCTCACAGTGCAGGTGAGGGCTGCGCAGGTGGGCAGGCAGGCTAGGAGTAAATCCCTTTTTCTCTGTTGCTGAACGATGGCATTGTGGACGAGGACAACCCCTATGACCGCCTCACAGTGCAGGTGAGGGCTGCGCAGGTGGGCAGGCAGGCTAGGAGTAAATCCCTTTTTCTCTGTTGCTGAACGATGGCATTGTGGACGAGGACAACCCCTATGACCGCCTCACAGTGCAGGTGAGTTTGGGCATATTACTGTGCATGTGAGGAGTGGGCAGGTGAGGGGTGTGAAATATGGAGGTTAGGGAAAAGAAAGGTGCAAGCAGAAGGGGAGGAAACCCTTCTAGCTCTGCTGCTCAACTATGGCATGCATCGTGGATGAAGAGACAACCCCTATGACCGCCTCACAGTGCAGGTGAGTGGTGCTAGTGGTGCGAGGAGCACACAGTGTATGTGAGGGGTGGATGGCATGGCATGCAAGGGAAGGAGGAGGAGAGTGCAAGCAAGAGGGGACTCCCCGCCTGCTGCTCAACTATGGCATGCATCGTGGATGAAAACAACCCCTTTGAGGTGTCTTTTGAGTCGACTCAAAAGCCACCTCGAAGACAACCCCAATGACCGCCTCACTGTGCAGGTGAGGGGGATGTGCGCATAGGGCGTGCGTGGGAGGGGGAGGGGTATGGTGCGTGGGAGGGGGAGGGGTATGGTGCGTGGGAGGGGGAGGGGTATGGTGCATGGTGTCAGAACTTGAGCTTAGAATCCATCCATTAGTAATGAGCTCAAGGCTCTTTAAGTACATTAGAAATGGGCAAGGTAATGGTGGGGAGAGAATTAGGGGCAATCCTAGGGAATTGGGGGTAATCCCAAGGCAATCTCCAATTGGTGGGTTGGAGATTGCTTGGAGATTACATTTGGGTTTGGTTGGGATGTGGGTGTACACCCAACCAAACACCAAGTGCAAACTACACTAAACTAGGATATAAAAAGTACAAGTACAAATGTGAGATTGAGGGCTAACATTAACACATGGGACCAGTGGCGGATAGGTAATACCATAGGACGGTGGGTGGTAGTCCTACATATGCTCAGCTCAACTATTGCATCGTGGACAAGGGCAATCGCTGTGAGCCTGTGACCGCCTTACAGTGCAGGTAAGGGGTAGTGCGGCATGCAGGGCAGATGCTTGGACTGGTGATGCACGAGGGGAGGGAGGGAGTCCCTCGTTCTCTGCTGCTCAACTACGGTATTGTGGTCGAGGGCAATCCCTGTGGCCGCCTTACAGTGCAGGTGAGGGAGGGGTGTGCAGTATGCAGGGCAGATGCTTGGACTGTTTCTGTTGCTCAACTACGGCATTGTGGTCGAGGGCAATCCCTGTGGCCGCCCCACGGTGCAGGCGGGGGTAGTCCAGTCCAGCAGGTAGCACAGGCAGCGGTTTCAGGGTTCAGGGTTCAGGATTCAGGGTTCAGGATTCAGGGTTCAGGATTCAGGGTTCAGGATTCAGGGTTCAGGATTCAGGGTTCAGGATTCAGGTCAGGGTTCAGGGTTCGAATTCAGGTCAGGGTTCAGGGTTTTCATCACCACTACCTCCTGCTGCTCCTCATCTCGTCTCCACCTCTCCTCCCCTTCTCTCCCCCGTCCCCTGCCCCAGGTGGCATTGAACCCGGATGACCCGCTGTACCAGGCAAAGCGGGCCATTGTGCAGAAGAACGACCTCCTGCGCACCCAGGACTTCCAGGTGGGTCGCCATGTCCAGGTGTTTCTTCAGGTGGATTTTCAGGTGGTTCTTCAGGTGGGTTTCCAGGTCATTATCTAGGTGCGTTTTTAGGTGTTTCTGCAGGTAGTTTCTTAGCTGCATTTTCAAGTGATTCTTCATGTGGATTTATTGGCAAGTCTCCAGGTGGACTTCCAGGTCATGGTGCCCTACCGTGCCTGGCATGATGACACATTCTCCCTCACCGTCACACCCTTCTCAACCACTCCCAACCCATCACCTGTACAAAGACAAGGAGCAAGCAGCCCTGTATGACACGATGCCCTACTTACGCCGGGCATAATGATGCCGTTCCCCTCACCTTCACACGCTTCTCAACCACCCCCAACCCATTTGTTGTACAAGGCGAAGGAGCAGGCAGCCCTGTACGACATGATGCCCTACCTGCGCCTAGCATGATGACGAACCCTTCCTTCACACCCTTCTCAACCACCCCCAACCCTTCTTCAAACACGGCATGATGCCCTACCTGCGCCTGGCATGATGACAAACCCTTCCCTCACCTGCTCCCTGCTCAAACCCCCCCCAACCCCACCACCCTTTCCCCCTCCTCCCTCCTCCCCTAACTCCTCACACCAGCTGTACAAGGGCAAGGAGCAGGCAGCCCTATACGACATGATGCCGTACCTGCGTCTGGCACTGTGGCACATGTCACATTCTCCCTTCACCTGCACACCCTTCTCAACCGCCCCCAACCCACCAGCTGTACAAGGGCAAGGAGCAGGCGGCCCTATACGACATGATGCCCTACCTGCGTCTGGCGCATGTCACCGACCCTCTCGACATGGAGTTCGTCACGTTCGCCGATGGGCCTGTGTGCGGGGTGAGTGCGGGGTGGGTGGTGTGTGTGTGGTGCATGTGTGAGGATGCTTGCATATCTGCGCCTGGCGCACGTCACTGACCCTCTCGACATGGAATTCGTCACTTTCGCTGATGGGCCTGTGTGCGGGGTGAGTGAGAGCCTGTGTGTGGGGGTAAGAGAGGGCTGATGTGTCGTTGGTGGCTGTGTGTGGGTGTTTGTGTGTGGGTGTTTGTGTGTGGGTGTTTGTGTGTGGGTGTTTGTGCGTGGGTGGCTGTGTGTGGGTGTTTGTGCGTGGGTGTAAGGTTGAGCTGAATGCCCTACCTGCGTATGGCGCATGTCACAGACCCCCTCGACATGGAGTTTGTCACCTTCGCCGATGGGCCCATGTGCGGGGTGAGTGAAAGATTGGTGTGTTTCTGTGTGCTGGGTGTGGCCGTGCCAGTGTGTGGTGTAAGGTTGAGCTGAATGCCCTACCTGCGCCTGGTGCATGTCACTGACCCCCTCGACATGGAGTGTGTCATGTTCGCCGATGGGCCCATGTGCGGGGTGAGTGAAGATTGGTGTTCCTGTGTGTGAGGTGAGTGTGGGGTGACTGGAAGATTGGTGTTCCTGCGTGTGGTGTGTGAGAGAGCTGAATGCCTCACCAACGTCTGGCGCATGTCCCCGACCCTCTCGACATGGAGATTGTCATGTTCGCCGATGGGCCCGTGTGCGGGTGAGTGGGGGGTGAGTGAGGGGCGAGTGGGTGGGGGGTGAAGTGTGCCTGAGTGCCGGGAATTGCCATGCCAGTGGCCAGTGTGTGGGGGATGAGTGAGGGGCGAGTGGGGGGTGAGTGAGTCCACATGGTCCCACCACACACACACGTTGGTGAGTCCATGGAACGAGAATCCAGTGCTGATCAGATTTAAGAAGCTCTAATATTGCTGGATCAACTTGTAAATGTGGAAATGTGTTGTCTGTGGAGGAACTTTTTCAGAATTTTTAAAAAGTGTGCATTTCACTGCCCTGCATCTATACCCAATCCCAATGGCCCTCATTTTCCCCTAATGTCCCCATGACCTCCACTTTCCACATATTCCCATGCGTCAAACACAGGCGATTCCATGCAACGAGAATGCAGTGTTAGACCAGCTGGTAAAAGGAGAGGTTTAGTGCGTTGCCTCGCCCATTCACCCCATTCGCTTCCATCTATGCTCATTTTTCCTGGTTCCCCCTTTTCCCCAATGGTTCAACCAAAGGTGAGTCCGTGCAACGAGAACGCACTGTTGGATCAGCTGGTGGAGTTCTTTGAAGGCCGGCTCGCAGCCTACCCCACCACTCTCAAGGAGGATATTGATGCCGTAAGAGATGATACCAGGGGCGCGGGTCAAGTTTTTAGAACTTGATGTTGAGCTGTGTGCAAACTTGAAAGAAGTGCACTATCGAGCACCCACCAGGGGAGGAGACTAGGATTGGCTGGGTGTGACGGAAAAAAAAAAAAAAAAAAAAAAAAAAAAAAAAAAAAAAAAAAAAAAAAAAAAAAAAAAAAAAAACAACAACAACACAAAACAAAAAAACAAAAAAAACCTATTTGGGGAAAGAAAACTCTCTCGACAACGCAGAAACTGAACTTCCTCCCGGTCAACATTTTAAATCATGAAAAACTTGGGCCACGGCCTTTTGCGGAAACATGTGATAGACATAGTTATTCTTTAACAGGAGACCAGCAGTTAACCCCACCACTCTTGAGGAGGACATAGCTGCAATAAGAGATGATTCGTTAATGATACCATGTGATAGGATCATCTATAACTTGTGACAAAAGTGGGTTTTCATTGAAGACAGACTCGCAGCCTACCCTCCTCATTCCCCCTCCCTTTCCCCTGCCGTTTCGATTCCCCCCCTGCCCCCTGCCCCCTTGCCCCTGTCTCTCTTGTGTCTCCTGCTCCCCGTCATTCAGATCGCAGACCCCACAACCCACCCAAAGAGGAAGGTGGCGGCGCGGCTGGTGCGCATTGAGAAGGAGATTCTGAACAACGCACTGGCAGCCGTGCAGAAAGCCATTGCTGCTCCCCTCCTCACCCCCCTCTTCCTCATCCCCCTGGCCACTGCCCCCTGCCCCCTGTCTCCTGTCACCCCCCCCCCGCTGCTCCCTGTCTCCCTGTATCTCCTCTCCCCTTTCTCAGATCGCAGACCCAGCAACCAAACCCAAGAGGCGGGTGGCGGCACGGCTGGTGCGCATTGAGAAGGAGATTCTCAGCAACGCCCTGGCAGCCGTGCAGGAGGTCATCTCTGCCCTGCCCACGTGGAGTGAGGCGCCGTGCTACAGCCAGCACAGGCCGATTCTGAAATAGGGTACAGTGAATGTATTTTGTTATGAACTAGTGAATGTAGGAAATGCCGAGCAATGCTCTGGCAGCCGTGCGGGAGGTCACTTCTACACTGCCCTCTTGGAACAAGACACTGTGTTACAGCCAGCACATGCTGATTCTGAAATAGGTCATAGCACAATGAACTGCTGTGTTATGGTATGGACTACATACGGTATGCTATGACAAATTTTCATATTGTAACTTTGCTAGCATTTGGCTGTACCGGTATTTCTTTTACGGTAGTTGTAAAGAATTCTGCTACTATAGTTGTTACAAAAGTTGGTGCACATCTCAATTCTTTCTGGGTGTGTGCAGTCATAGCCATCATACCACTGCAATCCTAAGGTTGTCCTCGCTTCTAGTTTTCTTGCAGATCAGATCCCAGCACACTTTATTCTGTTGTGGCCTCCTGACTGAAGCTGCCTATGAATCTAAGCCAATACCGGACTGTGTAGGTACAGTAAATCTTTGCAGGGGGGAACGTAAAAGAACAAGTGTTAAAACAAGAAAGAAAGCAGGCTCTTCTGTGAAGTCACATGCCAGTTCCACATCAACAGAAGACCTTTAGCCACGGCCGATCCTTCCTCACCGCCTTCCTAACCTCCTCCGAACCTCCAAGCAGCCAGAGCTCCCCCAAACGAGCCAGCCTCTTTACCATCTTCTTCACACCACCCTTGGTCAACCCACTGCCACCACCACCGCACATCCCAGCACCAGCAGCAGCAGCAGAGCAGCGCAAAGCCCTCAATTTCGGGAAGAACTTTGCAGCACACAGGGCAGCTTCGTCTCTCAGATGCCACCCGAACAGGCTCAGCCACACAAGCTTCTCCATGGGCCCCAGCGCTCTGATCCACCTGCCACCAGGTGCCGAGATAGAGAAAAAGACTAGTAGTTTCAAGAACCCTGACCCAGGCGGCACCAGGAAGAGCGGAGTTAGCGAGAGGTTTTTGAGAGGTCTCAAAGGCCTGGACTTACCTGTCTCCAGGTGCAGAATCAGCAGCAATGTTGGCTGCAAAGTTGGCTGCAGAATTGGCTGCACAGGTGGCCACCCAGGCAAGGTTGAGCGAGTCTAGGTGCTGCAGCTGGCGAATGTGGTACATGGACCGGCATGTGATGCGCGTGCAGTGGCGCAGGTCTAGAGTGGTGATCCCTGTGAGCTGACACCAGACAGCCATGCCCTCATCACCCACAGCCGTCCTGCTCAGATTCAGCCTCCTCAGGTTTGTCAGATTCGTCAGGTTCCCAAGATTTGCCAGAATTGTCAGACTTGCCAAATTTGTCAAATTTGCCAAATCTGTCAAGTTTGCCAGGTTTGGAGCACTGCTTATGACAGGGTGCGGTGCTGCTGCACCAAACCTGAAGCCAGTGCATCCAGCCAAGCAGAGGTGAGTGAGCTGCGTGAGTCGGGCAATCAGAGGCAAATCAGAGTCCACCAGGCGAGTGCAGTTGCTGAAATCAAGCTTTCTCAGTGATGGGAGATTCAGGACGATGGATTGTTGCAGGCAGGGTGTGGTTATTGATGAGAAGGCTTTGAGTGTGGAAACGGTGGAGAGGGATGCGGAGTGGTGGAGGGAGAGCGAGAGGAGGTGGAAGAGGAGCGTGTGGTAGGAGGGCGAGGGGAGTACAGAGAGGTCCAGAGTGGTGAAGCCCTTGATGAGGTGCGTGCTGTGGAAGGTGGCTAGGGATTGCAAGCCCTGGAGGCGGATGGGGAGGAGAACAACGGATGTGAAGGGTGGATAAGAGGAGAGGAATTGGGACAGGCGAGGCATGGAGAGTTGAGAATTCGGGCACCTAAAGAGCTGAATAACCATGAGGGACGACAACCCATAAAAAAAAAAAAAGCATTCAAAGGACTGGAAAGGATTCAAATACAGAGGAAAGAAGAACGCACATATTAACATCCTCGTTAGAGGGGGAAAGAGTAGAGGGAGACAAGGAATGTGTGAGACTTTGTGGGTTCAATAATGGTAAGGAAAGATATGTCCACACACGATACCTTTTCTATCCTCTGAACCTTGACGACTTGCTGCTGGAGCTGCGCGTCCATCTCCCTCATCCGTCTCTTCGTGCCTAAAAACGACTCTCCAGAACTCCCTCTTGAAATCTGCCTATGACAGTCTCGGCATTCCAGCTTCTTCAGTAGCCGCTGCTGCGGTTCCTGCAGCTGATCCTCTGGATGCCACTGCAGCACTTGTTGCTGCTGCTGCTGCTGCTCCTGCTGATGCTGCTGGCACAGCACGGTCTCCTGAGTCACGAGAATCAACTCCCTGCTACCCCCGACTTCCGTCATTTTCATTCGCACGCCTTCCACAAGACCCCTGATTCCCTCCACACTCTCCTCCAGTCTCTGCAGATGCTGCTCCGCTTCCTGCACGTGCTCTACCGCAGACATCCCCGCTATAAGTTGATGAACCTTGTTCGTTATAGACTCCTCCAATTCCTGCACCTCCTGCGTCAGCTCTACAAGCACACCCGCCACGCCCTGCATTGCTGTTAAATCGAAAAAAGCCGCTGCTGAGAATCGAAACGGATGCGTCTGGAAACGGCCTGTGTTGGAGTACAGAACAGCTCCCGAGATTTGAAGAGACAGTTCGGAAAATTGGACCTTTGCTGAGAATCGAAACCGCTGCTGAGATACGTAACAACCGCTGCTGATGTTTGATCAGTCTCTGCTGAGAATTTAAACAGCCTTTTGCTGAAAGTCTATCAGATTCTGCTGAGAATAGAACGACCTCTGCTAAAGACTAAACCGACTATTGCTGAAAATCGAAGCGCTTGTGCCGAGAATGCATTGTCAAGTTTGGATC